GTATCCTGAATTGTATGCGTCGTTTATATGTAGTTATTTGAAACTATTTAACTAAAAATATAGATTTAAAATTTTTTTTTTTTAATTACTGTTCAATGATTACGTTTATTTGATAAAACAATTTTAAAAACCTACGGAAACCAAGTCTATTTCCACACGTTTCTTAAAATGATTACACTCAATAGTTAAAAATTGTTCATAAGATTGACAATAAGTACACATGAAAAATTTACCTGCATATGCTGTAAACACTCTTCTCTCATTTCCAAAGTCATTTTAAAAACAAACGTATTATCCTTATTGAACATAATTGCGTTTTGAAACATAAGCATGATATCTCTCTGAAAATGTGTAGTTGATCTTATAGTACCATTATCTATGTTCTTTTTCACTGTCGATAAATCCATGGGTCTAAATATAATAGAATGATAGCCAGGAGCTTGATCTTCTGTAATGGGTCGTAAAAATATGGATGCATATTTATGTGTAGCAAGAGTGTTATAAACTGACATAATCAATTTTTTCCACGATTTGTAATCAGCCGTTTCTCCACTTCCTTCATTTTCAGGTTCACTGTCATTTGTAGAAGTTTGTTTTTTTGAATAAGTTTTCATAGTCTTATTAATACTCAATTTGCTAATAATAGATTCTTCTTCATCTATCTCTTCTGTGCTTCCAGCAGATTCAGCGTTCTCTTTTTTGACTAAAATTTCATTTTCATTTTTCATTTCTTTCTCGTTTTCCTGACAATCTCTGGTGTTATTATCATATTCTTGCTTTGGTTCAATTTTTATTAGACCAAGATTTTCAATGTCACTTTGTTTATTTTCTTCTTTTTTAACACTTTTTTGTTTGAATTCTTCTACGTTCTCTGTCTTAAGAAATATTTTACTTTCAATTACGAAGTATTCCTCTGAATTTTTGCAAACATTTGTCTTACGATGTTTTACTGGTTCATTTTTTTTTGTTTCAACTTCATTCTTTTGATTTTTTTCATCTTTTTCCTCTCTACTAAGAATCTTAGCTGATCCTGTTAGAATATCTTTCTGTCTGTTGCTTGAACAGTGTTTTGTTGTTTCACAAGTTCCTTGCTTTTGCTTTATGTCTTTAATTTCAACAACGTTTCCAGTTTTACTTCTTAAAGAATCAATTTTTGACTCAAGTAAAACACTGACAGCTTCAGTTTTTTGGCTGGATTTACTTTTTTCAACTCTTTTTCTTTCCTGTAAATAATTAAATTTTAGTAAAAAAAACTTTCATCTTTTTCAAACTTGTTTATGAGAATTAAAAAAAAAATAAGTTGAAAATCAGAATTATTAACGTAGAAAATGTAAATGAACGATTTTTCATTTAAAATGTAATTTTAGTGTACCTATATGGACTCGGATGTAGGTATAAGTACCACTGAAATGATAAACCATGAAACAAGAAATTTTTGACACAAACTGAATACTAGAAAATTATTGCTAATATTTGATCTATCCAGTTTTCATGTTTTTTGGAGTCTTACACACCCTAATTTATGAGTACACGTGAGCATGCCAACACATACATCTGTACATATACGTAATATTCACGTACGTATTTTTTAGTAGATATTTGAATCTATAAAAAAATTGAAATAACTTATTATAACATTTAAATAAAATATTTTTTTCTTGGTTGGTGATTAACTATTGACTTTATAATCAACTAATTAGAAATATACGAAAACATTGTTTTATACATTCTGTTATCCGTAAAAACTTGGTATTGATTGTTCATTAAAAAACTCAAAAATCAGTCCCGGCAAGTTATGTAATACGTACTATATTATTCAATATAAAACCCTTCACGAGTAATGTAAGATATAACCGTGTTATTCCAGTGGTTGATTATATTCAATTAAATTACTACTAGTTACAAAAGAAAAACTTGAATTTTTTTGTTGATTTCATTACTTCCCAAGACCAAAAACTGTGTTATTAGTATACGGAATGTGTATATGCAAAAAAAATTTTTCGCATTTCATCATTTCATTTAAAAACGGAAATACAATGTACGTAAAAAATGTTTTGCTTTCTTTAATCTGTTCAGTTATTCGTGAAGAAATTTTTTTTGTTAAAAAATATATTATTTTGTTATATTCTGAAATATTTTAATTTGATTTATCTTCAAATTTGTCTATTAATTTTAGATTTCACTGGTTTCTCATGCCTAAGATGATATTAAAAATTTCTTTATTTAAATTGAAAAAACAGAATTCGTTCTTGCCTTATAGGTGTTATAATTTTTTTAAATTAATATTATAATTAATCAGTATTCTGAAGGAAGTAGAAAAAGAAAAAGAAACGAAAGTGATTGGGAGTTTAATAAAAGGAAACGTGCAAGGAATGAAGTGAGCTTTTCTGTTAACTCTTT